CCTTAGATTTTAAATGAATAGACTAAATTAAATCATACTTGTACTTTCTGCATTGCACTTTTAACATTACTAAAAGGCTGTTTTGTTACTTTTAAGCAGCAATGGATACCAATAGTGGAATTTTCAATCCGACAGAAATATTATAGGGGATGTTTGTAAGCATTTTTATATAGCAATGGCAGCTTTTTCTTCCAAAAAATCAGATAATTTATACTCCAGTTTAAGAGGGAAATGCATCATTATTGTGAAAATTTCATTCACATTGAATAGCCTTTATGATATTTTTTTATAAAAGTATTTCTCTGGCATACGTGTTATTTTATTTCTCACAACATTTGTGCTACTTAAGATGTGACAGTAGTTGGACGTGAAAGTTGTAAATACTATGCATAATTGTCAAGCTATATAAACATTTGAATGCGATAGGTAAGTCATTTGGGCTATAAAGAAGAATGTACATCACTGGAGACTATTTTAGTAAAAGCTTCTACTATTTTATAGTCGACCTATATGTATTCTGGAATAAGAATAAGGGATAATCAGATGAAGCTGTATTCAATCTAGATAATGATATACATACTTTTATTTAAATTGAAAGCAATGTGGTGTAAACATTTTTAAAGAATTTTTGTTCTTCAGAAAATATACACTAGGGTTTCAGCACCCTGGCTGCACATTATAATCACTTTGAAAACTTAATGGGGGAAAATTTAAAAGACCAGTGCCTGAGCCCCACTCCCACTATCTGATTTAATTGGTTCAGGGTCAGGCCCATACACCGACAATTTTAAAGTGTACCTGTAGATGATTTCATTGTGCAGCCTGGTTGAAAACCAATGATTTATTTAAAGCAGACATAATGAGGTGGGTATAATATAATCTTGCTCATATTGTAGCTTTCTAGAGGTAGGTGTCCCTGCTGCACTTTCTCTGCCCCCAACTGCTGCTATTCTTTCATCTGGAGGATTTCCCCGTGCCCTCTCCTTATCATTAGGCCTGTTAGGGAAAAGAAGTAGAATCTGGAAGAAGTGTTCCCTGTGCATTACTTTTCATGAATCGTGGTTGTAAAATTTGAGTGGAAGTTGGGGCAGAGAAGTTGGAATTGAACCACAAGCTGAAATAAAAATTTGCAGCAATTTTAAGATTTCATTGCAAAATATAACCTTGCCCCCTTCCATTAATCTACCTCATTAATGTTTGGCTGTATAAATAAATTATGATTACCATGTATGAATGTAAGCATAGTAAAAGTAAAATTCAGTGAAGGAATTTGGATAAAATATTGTTCATTGATAAGGTTTTTTTTGCCACAGAACTTTTGGTTTATGAGCAGTTTAATTGATTTGTTTAAATTTATATATGTTCCTTTTTGTAAATCTGTGTTTTCAACAGCAGAAACTTCAAGTGCAGATTTTGACAACACTGTGGATCCTGATGTTTATTCTTCTGATATTGAAAAAATAGAGGAAAGCAGCATCTTTGGAAGAAATTTAAAAGAAAAAAGTA